CAGGTGTGTGCTGGGGGTATAGCCCTGCCCACATGGGCAGGTGTGTGCTGGGGGTATAGCTCTGCCCACACGGGCAGGTGTGTGCTGGGGCTATAGCCCTGCCCACCTGGGCAGGTGTGTGCTGGGGCTATAGCCCTGCCCACCTGGGCAGGTGTGTGCTGGGGCTATAGCCCTGCCCACCTGGGCAGGTGTGTGCTGGGGCTATAGCCCTGCCCACATGGGCAGGTGTGTGCTGGGGCTATGACCCTGTCCATATGGGCAGGTGTGTGCTGGAGCTATGGCCCTGCCCACATGGACAGGTGTGTGCTGGGTGTTCACAGCTGGAGATCAACTCGCTGGGGAATCCTGTTTGGCAGCCACTTGAATATCCCCAAATAGATTCCATTAAAAGCAAGCTGACTGCTGGGTGATTTACCACTTTTCCTCCCACTCTGTGGTTCTGCTGGTCTTCTCTATGCCTTTTCTTTCTGCCTGTTTGGGCACCTGAAGCTGCATTTGAACAGGGAATGGCTCTGTGCCACAAGTGTGTTAATGACTCTGACCATCTGTACAGCTCAGTCATAGAGTCATAGGAGTGATAAGGGGTTGGAATGGACCTTAGAGCTCATCCAGCCCCAACCCCCTGCCCAGTGCAGGGACACCTCCCACCAGAGCAGGTTGCTCAAGGCTTTAGCCAACCTGGCTGTGAACACTGCCAGGGTTGGGGCAGCCACAGCCTCCCTGGGCAACCTGTGCCAGTGTCTCACCACCCTCACAGGAAAAACTTCTGCCTAAGATCTAACCTAAATGATCACAAAAATTAATATTGATAATTCCTTTCCATTTTATCTTGAAGGCTCTTCTATCCCTACTGTTTGCTCAGCAGCTTCTTTGCTGATTTTCCTGAGGAATATAAATGTGCTCTCCACATGTTTTTCCTCTCTGAATGTTATTTCCAGGCAGCCTCAAGGAGTTCTGTTACCCAAATAGATACACTTGAGCTCTGCATTGTGTTCAGGTTTGCATGAGTTGCTTTATTTATAACTGGCAGCAGACACCCTGGGAAGAGCTTTCAGCTCCGAGGCAGCTCTGAGGAGCCTGTGTGGCCTGACAATCCAGGGCAGTGGCACAAGGACATCCAAGGGGCTGAGCTGGAATTACTGTGTCGAGGAAATACCACAGTATCATTAAGTTGGAAAAATTCTCTAGGATCATCAAGTCCAACCTTTGAATATGTTACAAAAATAAATGAAATCTGCTTTTTGGCAAGGCTTTGTGGGGAAGCTGAAGCTGCTTCATGTTGTGGGAGGAGCCTGAGATGGGATTGATGCTTTGAGGCGATAACAGTTTCCTGGTGCTGCTGTTGGCTTGTATAAAGCAACAGAGTTTGCCATCAGCTCAAGCATTTTCCCTTTGGATTTCATTATTCCTGTGTGGGGGAATTCTGCTTGGCAGAACCAAATGTACTTCCAACAGATAGATTCCTGGAGTGAGAGCTCAGTGTCCCTGATATACTACTCTCACGGGCTGTGTTCTTATCTCTGCAGCATGGAACGTTATGATCCAAGCAAGAACTCCTGGGAGACAGTGGCTTCCATGGCTGACAAACGGATCAACTTCGGTGTGGGAGTCATGCTGGGCTTCATCTTCGTGGTGGGGGGGCACAATGGGGTGTCCCACCTGTCCAGCATCGAGAGATACGACCCCCACCAGAACCAGTGGACTGTGTGTCGGCCCATGAAGGAGCCCAGAACAGGTGGGACATGCAGAGCTCTGCAGTTAACTCAGGGTTCCTTGCAGCAATCAGCTGCTGTTTGACCTCAGAGAAGCTGCAAGTCAAGTGACAGTGACTTTTCATAGAATCATCAAGGTTGGAGGAGACCTCTAAGATCCATCAAATCCAACGATTAACCTGTCACTGCTGTAACCCATAAACCATATCCTCCAGCACCAGATCCAGATGCCTCTTAAACATCTCCAGGGATGGTGACTCCACCACCTCCCTGGGCAATAGTCCAGTGCCTAGACACCCTCACAGGGAAAAAATTTTGTCTACAGAGCATTGCACTTCCATCTGTTAGTGAAAGTCACTGAATCATGTCTGTGAAGGAATGAGGGTTTAATTCTCTTTGATTCCAGTTCAGTTTAGTAATATTGAGCTATAACAAAAGTAATACCAAGTAATAATTCTACTCTACTTTGTGTTTTTTCATTGATTTCAGCAATGAGGAGTTGCAGCAATTCTGTGGTCACTGTTGTGTTGTATTTGCTTGAAATATGTTGAGATGCAGCCTGCAGCTTCCTTCCAAGGGGCAGCACCAATCCTGCTCTCTGTGACCTGAGGGAATGGCTGGAGCTGTGTCAGGGGAGGGTTAGGCTCGATATTAGGAGAAGGTTCTTCCCCCAGAGGTGTTTGGGCACTGGAACAGCTCCCCAGGGCAGTGGTCACAGCCCCAAGGCTGACAGAGCTCCAGGAGTGTTTGGCCAGTGCTCTCAGGCACAGGGTGCATTGTTGGGGTGTCTGTGCAGGAGTTGGACTGATGATCCTTGTGGGTTCCTTCCAGCTCAGGAGATTCCATGATCCTATTTTATAGCCTCTCCTGCCTCCCTGACAAGGAGTACTGGAACAGAAGAACATTGTTTTGGCAGAGGCAAGTGCATGAGAATAGTAGAACAGGAGTTTCAAAGCAGAACAGAGCTCTGCATTTACACCCATTTGCTTGAAGGATGGCCCAAAGGAGAGGCTGTGAGGACTCCTCTGTTCAGGCTCCGGGTGGAGAGGGGTTGGTTCCAATTAGAAACAAAACTGCTGCTGTTTTTCACAACTGGTGATCACACAATCTCTCCCTTCCCTCAGGAGTCGGTGCAGCTGTGATCGACAACTACCTGTACGTGGTGGGAGGTCACTCGGGCTCGTCCTACCTGAACACGGTGCAGAGGTACGACCCCATCACGGACACCTGGCTGGACTCTGCAGGGATGATGTACTGTCGGTGCAACTTTGGCTTGGCTGCACTTTGATGCACAGCAGGACCTGCTGGTCCTGAGGCAAAGATGGAGCTGAAGCTGCTGGACAACCATCGGTGCTGGTGGCAAGCGCAGGCAGCAGGGCCTGACGCTGGGGAGTTGGAGGAGTAGGGGAGGTTGGGGTTGAGATGAGGAAGGATTTGTGTTCTTCCCCTAACTGGCCTTTGTTAATTGGGTAACAAAGGAATGGAAAGCTGCTGCCCCAGCTGGGTTTAGCTAGCACCCTGCTCATGGCAGTGACTTCAGAGAGTACTGTACATGCCTGGGAGATGGTTAGAGACTTGTCCATCTGACCCTTTCACCTTTAGAGTTTCTCTCTCTTCCTCCTGCCTCCTCTGGAGTGTGAAGTTTACTGTGCTTGGGGTGAGAGCTGTGTGAGTGTGCTGTGTGCCTGCAGGGCTGGCTGTGGCTGGGTGTGTGTGCAGACTGAGCAAATGCCAGTGCTTCATGGGTTTTTTATGACCAGTAACTCAAGGGCTGCCTTGTTCCTGTATCTCAAGGGTTGTAAATAATAAATGCCATAGGATGTTGCCTGTATACTCTCCTTTGTTACCTGCTGACTGGGAGGAGGGCTGGGCTGATCAGTAGGAACTACTTAGAGACATTTACAAGGCACATTTCTTGCCTCTTCATGAAGTTTTTGGATCTGAAGGAGAGAAATTGGATTTTAACTTTACTTTCTGTTTCCTTTGTGGGAGAAATGGATGCTAGATGAACTGACTTCATCCTGCTGTGTGCTTTCAGTTGGAATGCAAGGAAAACTACAGCAGCAGCATTCCTAGCATGATATACCATAAACACTCTGCACCAGAGTGTCCCATCCTTCCCCTGAGCACACTTGTGTCCATGTTCCCTGTGGTTTCCTTCTGTACCAGAATGTCTAACTGCTTCCTGGGAATGCCCACAGTCAAAAATGGTGCTAAATGGAGGGATAACAGGAGGCTCTTCCTGATTTTAGTGCATAAAGCATGATGTTTGGATTGGTCGGATTGGTCCAGTGGTTTTGTTCTTTGCTCCATACATCAGTGCCTAGGAGACTGCCTGGAATCCCACAACATGTGGAATGAGCTCTTCATTGGGTACTTTAGGGGGTTTGGTTTTTTGCAGATCTATGTTCACTGCTCCTATTCTCACAAACAGGGAGATCCCAACTCTGGTTCTCAAACAGTTTTGCCTTTCACACCGGTTTCAGTGGGTTAATAGTCACAGTGGGGCACAGTGCTCATCCCAAACGTGACCTGGGATTAACCAGGTCTCAAGGGAGAATCGTGTGACAGCTCTAACCCTGCTGAAAACTGGGGCAGAGGACTAGAAAGCAATGCTGTGGGTTATACCCTTTGTTTAGAAGAGAATTTTAGCTAATTTAGGCTATTTTGTATTGTCTTCTGATCATGTGTCTTGAGTTTGTTTGGCTGGCTGGCTGCCCATTGCCAGACCTGTGGCTGAAGACTTTTTCTGCCTCCAGAGCTCCTTTCCCTTGGTTTTGTTTCCCCTTGTTTTCCATGCTGACATAGTGTTATTTTTGAAGGTGCGATAATAGTTGCTGTAAAAGCCATTTCTTTCTAATTCTGCTAAGCAGAGGGGGCTGAGTGCATTGGATTTATTCTGAGTTCCTGCAGAGCTGATTGCAGGGAAGCAGTGCTGGTACTGTTCTTCCATCCTGAACATTGGGATTTAACCAGTCAAGGAGGCAGTTGTCACCATCAAACATTGTTCATGGCTAACATGTGTTTGCACAGACCACAACTCCTGCAGGTGTTGCTGAAATTTGGTAGAGTTAAGCAGAACCTGAAAAGCAAATAAGATAATCTGTATTGGAAACACTGAAATGGTTAATTTGACCCACTGAGGGTTCAAGTTATAGCAATAATAGCCTGATTGGATTATTCCAGGGCATCCATTGGGAGGGCATGAGTAGCTACATGGCTGTTTGTTGCATGTTTGTGTGTGGGGAGGAGAAGGAATAATAGAATCCTGAATGGTTTGGGTTGGAAGGACCTTACAGCTCATCCCATCCCACCCCTGCTGTGGGCAGGGACACCTTCCACTAGCCCAGGTTGCTCCAAACCCCATCCAGCCTGGCCTGGAACACTCCCAAGGATCAGAACCAAAAATCCATAGGTCAGGTGATTATTTATATAAACATTTTTCATTTATAGAAGTCAAAGCACTTAAAATTGCAGAGTGTTTTATTCTCTTTCCCCAGACAGTGACAGTGTTAAATCCCAGAGTGGCTTGGGTGAGAAGGACCTTAAAGCCCATCCAGTCCCAGCTGCTGCCACAGGCAGGGACACCTTCCACTGGAATGAGGTCAGAGGAGGTAACAGGTCACAGATTGATCCCAAACTGAGGAATGTGACACTGCTGAATTTAAAAGAGCAGCACAAACCATTTTTGAGGTAGAAGAATGGGAGAAATGCCTAATGAATTTTACTGCTGTTCCTGGATGAACTGTTCAGAGACAGATCCCACAGCACATCAACTTAGAGATTGTGTCCCTTAATATCATGTCATCCCCATTTTCTCTCCAGATGCTGTTTGTCTTGTCTCTGCCGTGCTTGGCTAGAGCAACATCAGACACAGCAATCAGTGTGAACCTGTACTCAAAGATCAATAATCTCACTGGAATGTCAGTCTGACAGTTCAGAAATTAAGGATTTATAACTAAGATGTCATGCAAATCTCAATTATCATCCAGTTCCAGTTCTCCATCACTCAATCTGTGAAGCACCTTACACTAGGTTTAAATGAGTTTCTTCATGTACATGCAGCTAATTTCTGCTTTTTTTAGAGTTATTCATCTGTAAGCTGCCTGGCAGTGTCTCCTCCCAGGAATGTCTAGAGCAAATGTGTCCATCCACATACAAACATGTTCCTTCTGTGAATCTGCCACCTGTGAGTCCCCATTCCCTCTCTAAAGGAATGCAAACCATTCCAAATTGCCTTAAAGTCTTTCTATTGACCTGAAATGCTAAGAACTGGATGATAATTCCTAATTTTTTGCCTTATGCTCTGTGCTGTACTTTAATCCCAAGGCAAACTGAGTTTTACCAGGATTTCCTAACTGTACAGAGAACACCAGGCTGTACTTGGACTTGCCCAGAATGCTTTGGTAGAGAGTAGAAACTGCTCCCTGTAGTGCTGTGTCTGTAGGGTGGTTTTACATGTACATCTCTCTGGTTTCAGCACCAATGTCCTGACTTTGGTCTTGTTTACAAAGAGGCATTTGAGTTCAACAGGAAAAGAACTGTAACCTGCATTTGGGGCCTTTGCTAGTTCCCACGGTGTTTGCTCTTGTGCTAACTCTGTAATGTTGTTGTAACTATTTCATTGAATGTGAAGCATTTAGTAAATAAACCTGGGGAAAACTGTGTTGCCTGATGGTCAGTCCTGGAGGAGCCTTCGGAGCTGCTCCCACCTTGTTCCCACCACACTGCAGTGGCTGCTGCACCTTCACCCCTTAATTTATTCAGGCAGTTTGTGAGCAAATGTCTTTTTTTATACACACACACACTACTTTAATTTGCTTTTACTGCACTTTGACAAGCTCCAGCAGATACGGCATCAGAACACTCTGATTATTGCACTGCAAAATGAGACATGTCCATGTGCCTCTGAGGAAACCTGAGAGAGTTGGGATTGTTCAGCCTGGAGAAGAGAAGCTCCAGGGTGATCTAGTTGTGGCCTTCTAGTGCCTGAAGGGGCTACAAGAAAGATGGAGAGACACGATTGACAGGGTAGGAAGGGACAGGACACAGGGAATGGTTCCTACTGCCAGAGAGCAGGGACAGATGGGATATTAGAAAGGAATTGTTGGCTGTAAGAGTGCTGAGGCACTGGCACAGGTTGCCCAAAGCAACTGTGACTGCTCCATCCCATCCCTGGAAGTGTTCCAGACCAGGTTGGATGGGGCTTGGAGCAACTTGGGCTAGTGGAAGGTGTCCCTGCCCATGGCAGGGGGTGGGATGGCATGAGCTTTAGGGTCCCTCCAACCCAACCCAGTGTGGGATTCCATGACTCACAGCAAGAGCAGCAGAGCTCAGGGGCAGTTCGTGTGCCTGGCTGAGATGATGAGTGTAGGAAGTATGAGTATAAAATACACTTTCTCCACCTCTCCTCTTGTTGTGCTCCCCCTCCCAGGCTGAAAGGTGGTATCTGTGAGCCCCCTGTACCTGCTCCCACATAACAGGTGGTTGGAGGTGGTGGATTGGAGCCTCCAGCATCCCCATGTGACTCAAATGTTTATCTGTACTCAGAGCAAAGGAGAGCAAATCCTTTCTCTCATTATGTATTTCCTGCCAATATGTATATTAGTAATTTGAAGACATTAACTTTTTATTTAGGGTGTTTAGGGAAATGCATCCATCTGTTCATCCCTGAGACAGACAGGGAGGGATGTCTGAAGCTACAGGTGCATGTTCTAACCATAAATCTGGGCTCAGCACCCCTCAGCCTCTCACCAGCTAACCCAGCCTGATGCTGCTCAGCACATCCTGAGTTCCAACTCTAATTCCAACTCCCTGCCAGGGGCAGGAACAACTTCCACCAGCCCAGGTTGCTCCAAACCCCATCCAACCTGGCCTGGAACACTCCCAGGGATGGAGCAGCCACAGCTTCTCTGGACAACCTGTGCCAGTGCCTCACTACTCTCCGAGTGAGGAATTCCTTCCCCATATCCCACCTGTCCCTGCTCTCTGGCAGTGTGAAGCCATTCCACTTTGTCCTGTCCCTCCATGCTCTTGTAAGGAGTCCCTCTCCATGTTTCTTGTAGGCTCCTTCAGGTACTGGAAGACTGAAATTAGGTCAACCCAAAGCCTTCTCTGCTCCAGGCTGAACAATTCCAGTTCTCTCAGCCTTCCCTCATAGGAAAGGTGCTCCATCCTTTTAATCATTTTGGGGCTCTCCTCTGGACTTGCTCCAACAGGTCAATCTCCTTCCTGTCCACGTCACAACCAAGGGAATCGCAGAGGCCGGTGAAAGTCAAGCCCTTTCAA